TCTCTCTCTCTCTCTCTCTCTCTCTCTCTGTCTGTCTCTCTGTCTCTCTGTCTCTGTCTCTCTCTCTCTCTCTCTTTCTCTCTTTTCTCTTTTTATCCCTCTCTCTTGCTCGCTTTCTCTCTCTCTCTCTGTCTCTCTCTTGCTCTCTCTCTCTCTGTCTCTCTCTTGCTCTCTCTCTCTCTCTCTGTCTCTCTCTTGCTCTCTCTCTCTCTCTTTCTCTCTCTCTCTCTCTCTCTCTCTCTCTCTTTCTCTCTTTTCTCTTTTTGTCCCTCTCTCTTGCTCGCTTTCTCTCTCTCTCTCTGTCTCTCTCTTGCTCTCTCTCTCTCTGTCTCTCTCTTGCTCTCTCTCTCTCTCTGTCTCTCTCTTGCTCTCTCTCTCTCTCTTTCTCTCTCTCTCTCTCTCTCTCTCTCTCTCTTTCTCTCTTTTCTCTTTTTGTCCCTCTCTCTTGCTCGCTTTCTCTCTCTCTCTCTGTCTCTCTCTTGCTCTTGCTCTCTCTCTCTCTTTCTCTCTCTCTCTCTCTCTCTCTCTGTCTCTCTCTTGCTCTCTCTCTCTCTCTCTCTCTCTCTCTCTCTCTCTCTCTCTCTCTCTCATCTACTTACCCACAACTCAGACCATGACGTACCACTGTCCGTCTTCCCACATAATTATCAGATTCTCTAATTGTGTCGATGAGGACGTAAAACATAATAAATTGACAATGACAATTTCTCCCCTCAGATTACCGACTGTTTCACTGCAAGAGCTGTAACCAGAGTTTTATTCAGCAAGTCTCCTACGACACTCACATGAAGAACCATCATGGCTGAACACATAGATAGATAGATAGATAGATAGATAGATAGATAGATAGATAGATAGATAGATAGATAGATAGATAGATAGATAGATAGATAGATAGATAGATAGATAGATAGATAGATAGATTTATAGTTGATAGATCGATAGAGAGAGAGAGAGAGAGAGAGAGAGAGAGAGAGAGAGAGAGAGAGAGAGTGAGAGAGAGAGAGAGAGAGAGAGAGAGAGAGAGAGAGAGAGAGAGAGAGAGAGAGAGAGAGAGAGAGAGAGAGAGAGATTTCATCATGATAATGTGTACATTACTTTTACTTTACTTTTCCGATCCCGCGGCCATTTGGGTTCTAGCCTAATTTGTACATTCTATTCATTTTCCAGTTTCTCTTTGAGAATTGACAAAATCATTTTTACATTTCTTTATTTATTTCTTCATTTCTTTATTACTTCATTTCTTTACTTATTTCTTTATTTCCTTACTTATTTCTCCATTTCTTCATTTATTTCTTTATTTCGTCATGCCTTCATTTCTTCGTTATTTCATTACTTCTCCCTAGTTGTTGTTTTTTTGTTGTTGTTTTAAATTAATTGGTTAAAAAATAATTGTCTTTCTTTTCTTATCAAAATTGGATAAAAGGAAAAGGGAAGAACACATTATTTATTTAAACTAAAATCAAAAGAAAAGTAGAAGAAAAAGTAAGGGGTACAAAAGCAGCTTAAAATCAGGTCAAAATTGAATAAAAGTAAAACGACACCACGAAAGAAGCAAAATGACAGCAAACAAAAGCTGGATAAAAGTAGGATAAAAGTGCTACATATGAGTATGAGACAAAATGAAGGATAAAAAGTATAAAAAAAATAAAATAAAAGTCCGACAAAAAGCAGGATAAAAATATGAAAAAATAAGGATAAAAGTTCGACATAAAAAGCAAGCAGAATCGAATCATAAAAGGATGAAGGTTCGACAAAAAGCAGGATAAAATATTTTTTTAAAAAGCAGAATACAAGTCCGAGAAAAAAAGCAAGAAGAATCAGACTTGGGCAACGGCTTTGAAAAGAGCAACAGAAGCAGGACTAGGGGGATAAAAGGGGGATAAAATGTTTTTCTACTCTGTACAATAAAACGGAGAAGTGTAGCACGTCACCTATGACATATCATGCTTCCTGGTTGTTTTATCTACACAAAATCCCGTAAATTCTTCATGTCCGTCCTTTAATTTGCATTGCTGATTATGATTTTATTTTTGCAATAAAAGATACTGACTTGCAAAGTGAAGAGTTGTTTGTTTAGATATATTTGTTTTTTGTTTGTTTGTTTGTTCATTTATTTGTATATTTGTTTGTTTATATTTTTATAGTAGAGGGTTTCACAGCATAAGGTCATATGAGCGTCAAGGGGTGGATGTCAACAGAGAAGTCTTTACAGGGAATCGGACTTACTCTGCTCACCTCTCTAGCTTCAACAGCACAAGGTCTGCCTCGACTATCAATGCACCCCGGAAGGAGCAGGTCACAAGAGAGTGACAAACATACAAAAGAAGTAGAGGAAATGAAAATAATAAGGATCAGGAAAGAAAAAGCAGCAGTTCCCTGTTATAGATCAGGCACAGTTATGAGCGTGACATGAGTCAGCCCATTTACATTTCTTCTATGCTTGAACGAGAAATGTCCCCCCTTTGGGAATGGCCTAAAGACACTACAGTCAATGGCACTGCCCCGGGGTTTTTTTTGCTCGTTTGCTTTTTGTTTGTTTGTTTGTTCGTTTGTGTTATTTATTTCTCACACATACTATTGTTTGTTTGTTTAGTAGTTGCTATTTAGAGTAACTCTTTTGTCAGACACACTTGCTTTTTGTGTGTTTTGTTTGTTTGTTCAATTGTTTGCTTGTTTGTTAGTTTGTTTGTTCAATTGTTTGTTTGTTTGTTTGTTTGTTTGTTTAATATTTTCCTTTCTATTTAGTGGAACTCTTTTGTCAGACACACTTGCTTTTTTCTGTTTTGTTTGTTTGTTCCATTGTTTGCTTGTTTGTTAGTGTAATTCTTTTGTAAGGCACACCTTTTGTTTGTTTATTAGTTTGTTATTTGTTAGCATTCTCTATATTAGATAAAACCTTGTGAAATTGGGATTTGACTCAAACAGACATACCTACTGTCCCAGGCTCGATGACAGCGAGAAAATGATGAATAACTTCTCCAATTTTGCTCACCTTCGTACCAAATTTTAGGGGAATTATGTTTGATCCTTCCCGACGTCATTTTCTATGCTTAAATTTGAACTGGTTCGTACGAACACTGCTTCATCAACCATATCTCGGAAAAGGCTTTTTTTAAAAGTTAGCTTCCACGTGGGTGGTTGGCGGCAGGGGCAGCTCGTAGGGTTAAAAAGTGGACGTGCACAATTAAGCTATCGCATGCTGAAGATAGTCAGTCAAGGGCATAGTAAATGAGGCGGTGTATACATTAAAAAATCTTTGGGTTTGTGAGGGAGGACCTCGTGCTTTTATTTTCATTGTTTTCACTTGTCGCTTTGATTTCTAGTACTAAATTTGTTTGTTAGCTAAACATCCCTTTCGTTCATCTTGTATTGAAACTGAACACTCAAGTAATAACTTTCACTACTCCACTACAAAACCATTCAAAGGCACAACTCATAGGACAATCACGTTCACCTCCCTCAGGTTCACGGTCACAGAGTCAGTTAAAAATAGTGGCAAGACAGACAATGAACCAATCACAATTCTCTTGAGCACTCCGATGGATTGCTCCGGGGCTCACATAATATTGGCAAAGAATAGCATGCAGTCTATTGCGTTATTTTTAGACTGCTTACTGTGGACAATGTTTCGGCACTGTTCGGCAGGAGCACATTTGAGATGTGCCGTCTTATTAATATTAATGTACCGCCTAACTCGCTACGAGTGTCGTCGTTGCTTGGGTCTTCTCCAAGAGCGATTTATAGGTCAGGTTACACTGTTGAATATCCTATTATGTTTAGCTAAAACGCGTGGACTTTGGCATGGCATAGTAGATGTTCTACGGCACTATAGGCACCGAAATGGCAGTTATGGCGCCAGGGAGGACCTTGTTTTGACATAATATTTGGCTAGTGTTTGTTTCTAGCTTCTTTTATTTTATTATTTTGGGTATCTTACGTAATAGAACATTGAAAAAATTTGGGCGGCACTGCACGGCCGTGCTCTATGGACGAACCGCGCCTGGTTGGCGGGTACTCAGGTGTGGTCTGTACATTATTTCCTTCCAAACATCTATCATCGTTATTTCTCCTTCTCCCCCCCCCCACCTCTCTCTCTCTCTCTCTCTCTCTCTCTCTCTCTCTCTCTCTCTCTCTCTCTCTCTCTCTCTCTCTCTCTCTTTGTTTTTTATGCTTGATGTTTAAAAAAAACCGCAGAAAAAGGAGGTGTTAAGCATGATATAATAGCATTGGATAATTTAAAAAAATTGTGAAGGCCTTAACTCTGGTTTAAAACCATGCGTGTGTTGTCATGTTATCTTCGTGCAACGGCGAAGCTACGCCACTGAAAGTAGCGTCTGGTGGGTTATAAAGGATGCGTAATGACTGAAAAGGCAGTGGTGAAACACGCATGGAAAAAAACCCGTGAAAGTTTAAATAGGTTCATAAGTATTCTTATCATGTTAATGGCAATACCACGTTTGAAACCAGGAAAATGAACTCACCTATGTGGGTGGTTGGCGGGTGCTCTGGTGTGGTTTGCTTCTTCTTTCCTATCAAACATCTATCGTCCCTATCTCTCCTCTTTTTTTGTATTTGTCACTCTCTCGTAACTCCTCTAATCCTCGGCACTTATATGACATTATTGTGTTGCAAGTGCCGTAACACACTTACTGAAACGAACTCACCTATGCCTCTTTATACTTGTACATGATGTGTGTCCTTCCGTTTTTGTTGTTGAATAAGTTTGCCTGTGGGTTTTTTTTTGGCTGAAAGGTGCATCCTTCATGATCAACTATTCATGATTAAAATAATCTCTTTTGCTTTCCATCTACATCAGGATGCAAAAATTCTGCCGTTTAATGTGATCCCAGTCTCTAGACAGTGAGCTTAGCTTCAAGTAATAAAGAACCAAAGCGAATTTCCGTTAAACATTAAGCATTTTATGCCAGGAAACGCTTCTGGTTCGCTCTAAAAGTTACTTTGGTTAGCGTTTTACGGCGCTCACAACTGCATAACGTCATATGGGGGCGCGGGACACATTAGCACATTTTCAGTTTCGTAAGAATTAAAGTTGGATTTTTCCCGGGTGGCGGCTGAAGCCTACCCTTATCGATTTTAGACTACCAAGGGATGTTTTATGTTTATGTGCACAATTTACACACGAGACCTTCGAGATTTTTTGCCCTTATCCAAGAAGGATGGGTGTTAGATCTTACCTACCCTAAGATCAGGGATGTGGCTGGAAGACAACAGTAAGAAAGAGCCAATGAGTAGGCCAAACAGTAGAAAGGCTGCAGAAAGATTCAGGAGCCCAGAGGAGGGGGCGAAGTGGGCTGGGGGTGGAGGAAGAAAGTAAAGACGATAGCACACGACAGATCATGGACAGAGAGCAGAAAAGGAGGTAAAAGTAAAACATAATTTTTAAAGACAAAAAAACAACCTCTGTCGCTGTCAGGTTTCGAACTTGGGAACTATTGAATGAGAGGCGAACACCGTAATCTCTAGATCATGAGAGCCCCCATGGCTTGTTCGCTAGTGGGCCTACTGTACACACACACACTCACACACACACACACACACACACACACACACACACACACACACACACACACATGACCTTGGAAACTTTTCCAACGACTGTGATCCTTCTTGGAATTAAACGTACAGAAACCTACAATTGTTTCAAATAATTATCAATTACCTGCAATTCATTGATATCTTTACTAGTATTACAAAAACATTTGAGAAAAAAAAACACGACCCCCCCAAAAAACAACAACAAACAAACAAACAAACAAAAAAACTAACAACAAAAAAACAAACAAACAAAAAACCAACCCCCCCCCCAAAAAAAAACAGCAACAACAATAATAACAACAAACCAGCATCGAGGAAAGTAGG